TGTGATATTTCCAACATTTGTTTCACATTTGATGGTCTGTGAAACATGTGAACATCTGCTCGTAGCCTGAGAGAAAGTTTGAGAGCGCTGATTTGTCAGCAGCTCTGAATTCTACTCTGAGTAAAGTCATACAGACGTGCACGCACGCACGCACACACAGGAACACGTTACTGTTACACATTACCAGTGCCCTCCAGCTCACACACATTCTTACATACTCAGGAATGTTCACACACACGCAGCGACACACACATACACACAACACTGAACTCTGTAAATCCACATGGGACACGGAGGAAGACGGCAGCGCCGCTCGGTTCCAGCGGTGTCCTCCACCGTCCAATCATGATAACCTCTGAGGCCCTTGTTAGCTCAGAGCAGAACCAGACAAGGCACTTAGAGCACACACACACACAGACACACATGCACGCACACACCGCAAATATCCCACCCCCAGCGTCCCTAACTTTGGCTGACACATCAAAGGGCTGTGTCCAAGGAGGGAAGTCAGGGAGGGTCTGGGGAATCATAGGAGACAAAGGAAGCGATTAAGAGATAAGGATCAGTCTAAGATATGACATTTCATCCTGGGCAGATCCGGTAGACGCGCTCCATTCAAGGAAGGCTATATGGCAACGGAAGGGAGGAGGTGGGGGAGACGGAGGAGGGTAGGGACTGCAGGGTCTTTCCGTCTCAGCACTCCTTGCACCTTTACGTCTGCGAACACTGGGAAAAGCCTCTGTGGTGACAACACTGCTCTCCTCCCCCAGAACGAAGCGCCACATCCTTCATTCCTGTCCAGTTCACCCAGTCCCTCCTCCCTGCGTATACACACACATCAAAAAGATAGGACAACAAGGCAGGGCCACTTCAAAGCAGTGGCATACATTCAGGGGCAACTCATTGAACTTTTGTAGCGCCAGCATCCATCGCTCACCCAAACCCAAAAAGCGCTGCTCATTTGCTCCTTGGCCATCTGTTTGCCACTCTGAGGTTCTAAGATTCAAATTATTTTTATTATTTGCTCTTAAATCGTATTTACCCCACACAAAGGGAGCATACGTGAAAAATACACGTCCTCATTGTGGGCCTAATTGCCCCGGGCTCGCGTTACAGCTCCGGTTTCAAGGTCCTTGCTTTCAGACCGTAGCCCGCAGGCCCAGGGCACAATCCACCTGCCTCTCACTGAGCCACACAAAGGGTCAGCGTATGAACACAGAGGGAGTCTGTTAGCAAATAAACACTGGGATCTACACCCCGGCCGCTGTCCGCCCAAACACCGGCTCGCTTTCCAAGCACCTCTACACCTGAATGGGTTGACGTGGTCAAACGATCGCCTGTAACTAACAATGAGCGTTATGCAGATGACACCGTACTGTATATCAGTGATTATCAAAGTGGAAAAGACAAATTGGTGTTTCTCATGGAGGGGAATGGCAGGAAAAGATGTAACGGCTGTACGTAAACAGCTTTGTCTCATTACGTGAGGTTGTTGGTTTTTTTTTTTTATTTCTTTAACAACATCTCAGTTTGCCAGAAGCCTCGGAGTGGTGGGGATTGTTAAAGGAACCCAGTGATACTCGTTTTACTCGCTGTCTTTAATTTCCTGCCATATGTGAAAATACGGATGTAGGAAGACTATGTGACTCTTTATGTTGCCACTTGTTTTTACTAGAGGCAAAAGAGCAAAGTGACTGCAGGCAAATAAACTTTTATATGGGGAAAAACAAACATATTGAGTGATTAGTTCCATATATTTGCCGTTTGAGCGGATTACATAGATTATGTAAACTCTGCCTCGTGGAAAGAAAGAACGTTGTGATGAATGTGAGCAGAGTGGAGTAGAGCGATGCCAGAACTTTGGTTCAAAAGCCACAGACATAAAAAGGGTTTAAGGGTTTTTGTTAAAGTGTTTAGCACCCATAGGCAAACAATTATCCAAGTTTCTCAGGACCATAATTAACTTAATGGTGACACTGAATTCAGGTCACATGTTTGCTAATGAAAACTAAATGTAACAAAAAAATAAAAATGTGTACATAAGTTGCTTAATTCACTTTATATTCATTTGGACAAATACAGAAAGTACTGTAAAAAAAGCAGTCAGAAAATATAAAAAGGTAAGGGAAACTAGGTGAGTCCTTTAATAGAATAATTTTGTGTTATGTTAAATAAAATTCAAAAGACAGCTCAAATGCAATGTGTAAAAAAAAGTATAGTTAATTCTCAAATTTGCTAAATGTTAATGCTAAACCTTAAACAAAAGCAAGAAGAAAATATTCTTTCTGTTGTTCTAGCATTTGAAAGCTAAATGAAACAAAACAGATGAAAAAATCATGTCATGGACTAGTTTAGACTTACTACCAAGTTGATAAAGTAAAAATTAGCCAATAATTAAAATAAAATTAGTCAAGACGCCGAGGGCTGAAGTTGACTAAAGTTAGCCAAAATCACAAAAGAAATGTAAGGCCTAGTGAACGCTAAAGTTAGCCAAAATCACAAAAGAAATTTAAGGCCTTTAACTTGCTAGCCAGAAACCACTTAATGTTAGCAATACATACAAAATTTAAAACTGACTAAATAGTAATAAAATAGCTAAGATACATAAACAACATTTTAAAGTTACCTTAAGTTACTTGAAAACCTGATATGTCGTTCTTAAAATGATCCAAATCATGTCTAGTCAGTCCAGCAAAATCCAAAAAGTTTTGGGCCTTGCTAACACCTGTAGTGACCCTCGTAGCCCCAGGTCCAACACTTGGACATGTTTGGTGTAAACAACAAGTTCCTTCAAAATTATTTTGAGAAACTTGAGAAAACCATGCTCTGTCACCTGCTGGAGTGGAGATGAATTGTTTTCCGGTTGTTTTCAGTGAATTATGGAGCAGCAGCAGCAGCAGTAGCATTATTAGCACACCTGTTTAGCGGAGAGACGTGAGGCTCAGAATCTAAATACAGGCCAGAGGAGCGTCGGGGGGCCGGGCCGTCCAGCAGCCATCTTTTCATTAGCCGTATCTAATGAAACTGCACAGGGCCGGGGAAAGAAAGGCCTACTGCAGGGACACCCTGCCCTGCCCGAAATTACACCAGAGACTAGCCCACAAAGGAGGCATTCCGTCCACACAGCGACAGTGGCACTTGACACCGCATTTTTAAACAGGCAGGTTGTTTCTCCGTCAAGTGGAAATTTCCACTGCAATCCCTCCCTGGTCGGAAAAGTCTGGTTGAGAAAACAACTGTAGTGGGGGTTTTAATCACACAGGGAGTGTGTGAGTAACCCCCGCTCCACTCACACGCCCACTGCCCCTGAGCCTCCGCGGCTGTACGCTGTGTTTGGGAACAGTTGTCAGGATGGAAATATCTGATACTCTTTCTAATCACTCAGCCAGCAATTACTGTTATTAGGCTTTCTTTGAGGGGCCTTCATTGTTTTTCTTCCAACACCACTGACAGACAGCAGGGTGTTAACAGCAAGTAACTGCAGATTTGTGACCGTGCACGTGTACTTAGACGTGCACGTGAAGAAAGCTGAAATAGGTTGAGAATGAATGACCGTCAGTCAGGCTCAGAGTTAGCATCGCAACGTTGTAACGTCAAAGTGTTTTGTCAGTTAAATTTTGAATTGGTCCCAGAATTGGGAAACGTCGGCTAAAAATTTAATAAATATTAAATATAGTATACAAAAAATAGTTTTGTCAGTTAAATTTTGAATTGGTCGTAGAATTGGGAAATGTTAGCTAATAATTTAATAAAAATTAAATATAGTATACAAAAAAAGAACTTGTTTTAAATTTCAGCGTACAAGTTTTTTTTTTAAATTTTTTATAAAATTTTATGATGTAAAATTGTAGGGTTTCTTTTAGAATTAACCTTAATAATTTCAATATTATATTTATATAACACTTTGTTTTCTTTTTAGGCTTTAACAATTCTTTTGAAAATTTTAAAATAAAAAATGTACTTCATTAGCGATTGTTTTAATTATTTCAACCCATTTCGGACAGACATTTGGCCAATCATTAACTCACTTGCTTTTATAGCTGTACTTTTTTTTTCTATCTAAATATGGAGAAATTTGTGTATACGTGTATGTTTATATATATTTCCCAAACTTTTTTTCTGGGGACCCATATTTTAAAAGTCGCAAACCTTCACGACCCAAGTCAATAGACATTATTCGTAAACTCGACAAAAAAATGATGTGAGACGACCCAAAAAAAACCCTCTTGCGACCTGAGGGTCGCGACCCAGTCTTTGTGAAACAATTATCTACAGTAGCACTGGTCATTTCCTTTAAAACCCCCTGCTGTGTCATCTTTAAGGGCATTTCTTCTGACCTGAGCCGCTGCTAACTTCTGACCCTTTTCAGCAGTACAGCGCTGCTCCGTTACACTGACCTGTTCCTGAACCTGCCTCATGACTGACAGGCTCTTCTACTGTTACCCACCTGCTCTGTGTACAGTATGTGCACGTATGTTCTGAGCCGTTCTGAGCCGTTGACCCGGGGTCAGAGTATTCCGTCGATGACAGCCTCGGCCTCTTAAATGCACCGGGCAGCGTTGTGGCTGCCGCGTGCCAACGCAGAGGTGTGTGTGCGATGAGTGGAGAAGATCCACAGGCCCGGGTTGAGGGGAGGTGTCACACTGATAACCCGCACAGATGGACAGTGGGGGGAGTCTAGGGTTTCAGACCTGTGTGTGTGTGTGTGTGTGTGAGAGAGAGAGAGTTCAAATGATACACCCTCGTCCAGAAGGGAGTATATGAAATGTGTGTGCGTGGAGGCAAGTGAGTGAGAGAGTGAAAGGAGAGGCCCTGACCTCCATGCAGCACTGACGTGAGCTATCATCACAGCAGGGCCTGCTGATTGTCTTCACCCAGAAGAGGCCACGACACTCTCTGTCCCCCAGAATCCTTCAGTCTGATCGTCCAGACCACAAACGACTCCATTATCCCGGCCTGCAGATAGTTTTGGTCTCATTTGCTCAGAGTTTGAGGTTATTTTTTTTTTTCTTCTTCTTCTTCTTCCCGCTACACAATAAAACTGAGCTGAAAGGAATTTCATCTGTGGTTCTCAGAATGTTTAAAGAATTACGCTGTAAAAATAAAAGCCCAGCAGGAGTTTGCAGAGATTATGACACAGTTACTTCCAATCTTTTAAAGACTTCCTCTGAACCTCCATGAGGATAAAACAGTGGAGCAGAGGAGGTTCAATGAGGAGAAAGTGACGAGAACATTAGAAGTTGAAGTCCAGCTACATGCCAGTGTGAGCCTGGACTGAATCCTAGACCCAAAGAGGACCCCCGGCCTGTGGTGTCTTCCCGGGAGTGGTCTTATGTCTGGGTTGGCTCAAAAAGTGAATGAATCACGATTAATCATGACCATAGTTGATGGAAATGAATCATGAACATTGGAATAAATCAACATTCCTAAAGATGCTGATTTTTCATTGACAAAACATACAATTGTTTACTGTGTTGTTGAAACAGACGTGACCATAGTTGATGGAAATGAATCATGAACATTGGAATAAATCAACATTCCTAAAGATGCTGATTTTTCATTGACAAAACATACAATTGTTTTCTGTGTGACGACAAAAACCAGCAGGTTGATGCATGTGTTTTATACCTGTTTTCATTTGTGACGTTTTCTGATCATTAACATGAGAAAAGAATTGTCACGAAAATCATTTAAAGTCTCACTGACACTTCGTAGATACTTCATATTTCAGTTGTTACTGTGCATCTTGACGGTGGCCAGTACAACGTGTTATTGAAGCCTCTACAAACACACGCTGGACATCGAGCTGGTGTTTCAAACCAAAGGTTGTCCCGCGGTGTGTGCGTACAACGACGTGTGTGTGGAATGTGTGTTAGAGCAGCTCATTCTACCGTTGTGTCAAGAGTCATTTTATACATTATTCGTTATTAACACGTTCAGTGTGACACTCTGTGTGTTTGTGTGTTTACGTTGGGAAACCGTTTTAACAGGTTTCCCTATGAAGTCAACTGTGACCTGACATTCCACTCACACCTAAATGGAAATGTTACCAGAGAATAATCCTTTAAAATGTTGCCAGTTTGTACTCTAAGGTCAAATACTTAATGTAGGATTTTGCATTACATAAGATTGAAGATTGAAGATGTGCTGAAAATCTTTCATCACGGGCTGGAATTTTTCCAGCCCGTGATGAAAGATACCCCCCCCCCCCGCCCCCCCCGCTCTT